AGACTTTCCTTCAATGACAATGTCTTTTGGTTTTCTGGTCAGTTCCTAAATTTTACTTTTCTAAGGGATTGCAATAGATTCTGTTAAGTAAATTCTCATCCGCTTCACTCGTTAGCCCCGATTAGCATCATTCAACCCTCCCATTCTCAGTCTTATCCAATCCTCATCGTCAGGAGCACGCATCTGCTGCATGTGAGAGCCGAGCATTCTACCGTGTGTTTGTGTGTGTGTGTGTGTGGGTGTGTGTGTGTGTGTGCTTGTGTGTGTGTCTGCCCTCGACACGTGGGCCTCATCGGATTCTGACAGGCGTTATCTTGCGCAATAGCAAATACGAACATTTAGGGAAAGGTGGGCCGGCGGACACTGTTGTCGGCAGTTGTTGCATAAATTGCGACCACTGCTATACCCCATTGTCTTGTTGGTCACAATCCAGGTCATGTGCTGTGAGGGTGCGGAATGGAGTGCAAGGTGCGGATCCGTCCAAGACATCCACCTGCGACTCTGTCTTGACACCGGGCTCATGAGGCGCAGGAGGAGAGAGTGTGATAGATGCGTCGAAAGTCACCGTTATTGTTCCCGCCCTGCTGTGGAGCATACAGTGGACATCGTCGAATGCGACGGTCAAATCTTCGTGTGTGTGTTTGGTCTGTGTTTAGTCTTGGGGTGTGAATTTCAGTGCCACGTCGGGTGCGCCTTACCCTTAGGACTAAATGTAGACCAGAAATTGTAGAAAATTGGCTCCGGGGAAACAACACAGTCCTGCCCTTTTTTACCACGACTTGACCTTTCACAAATATCAACACCGAAAACAACCTCAGTTGTGAGGACAAAATAGTCAGCATGTGCTTTAAAATGAAAGTATTTCTGAAATCGATAAATGCGACGCAAGTACCCGGCTTTGACAACGACCATCCAATCAGTAAGATGGGCTGTTACGTTCGGGCTCAATGCTCAATTGTAATTCTTACTACGGGTGCCCACGCACATTAGCCAGCTGACACATACGCAAACGAGGCAATCCAGCTGGTCCCAAATTGCGTTCACAACCGCAAAGTATACCCTGGCGTTTAGAGACTACTCTCAATTAGCTGCCGATGGCTGTTACTTGTGTCTAACATATATACCCTTCTGAATGTAAACATGAGTATCTCGGTGGATGTGACGTATGCCTACGAAGAAGACACAGTGATAAATTTGGTCTTGTAATCTCTGCGGTGTCGTCAGTACTCCAGCGCAGTTTAACAAATCAAATACATTTCGACCAATGTGGGACACGTGCACACTGGAGAAACCCTGAAAGCATTTGTACAGGGCATCCTTGCTTACGAAGCTTTTCTATTTCTATCTACTTGAAATCTTACTGGCACTAAATGTATTGTTGTTATGATGGTAATACAAAAGATAAATAGTGAACGGGGAAAAATTGACAGTATATTCACGTATTAAATCAGCAACAAAATATAAATTCTGGTGTGTTGCTTTAGCGGGTTTTTGCTTATCAAGTATTTGTATTCCTAACTTATTCAAATGTCACTGCAAAGGCCCGGTGATCTTGATGCAACAAATACACAGGAAGTGAGTGTTGATATTGACAGTCTGTTCACGAAAGTAAATCATCAAAAAATTTTTAATTCTGATGTTTTGCTGGGGTGGCATACTGCGTAGTGTAAGCAACCGCCCACTTACTCGATCGAAATGTGTGCATATGCACAGGGACGTTCATATCAAATTCTGGATTGAAGGAATCCCACAATCAGCGAAGATTATTTTTTTAAAAAATGAAGGCGAATATTGCTTGGCGCGATTTAAACAGTCGGCCATGGCGTAATTGTTGAAATCATGTGAGGAAATTCCGTAGGATATGCAAGCAGATATGTACGTCTTTGAGCGTCCGGATAATTGAAGGAAACATATTTGCTTGAAGCGATTATAGTCTGTCGTATTCTGATTGTAATGACATGAATTCCTAGTGAGTTATTTGGATGATGTCTTCATCGTCATCAAATCGAATCAGGTGCTCGCATTTAAAGAGCGTCTCAATTTCGTATTACCGGGCTTGCATTTTAAGATGGGGGGGGGGAAGATAAGGACTATCTGTCATTCTCGGTGTTTTACTCTAAAGTGGCTTAAAAATGAAATGATCTGGAAATCATAAGTGCGACGCAAATGCTGATTTTATCAGAAACCACAAAATCAACCACAGATGCGCTTGCGTGATGGCAGAAAGGGCATATAAGGAAGCGTCATTATCGCCCGATTCTCAGACCTCCAGTCAACCTAATCTACTCACCATGTGAACGCATATAGCAGACTTCCTCCTCCCCACTCTCAAAGCATCTGGCTAAAGTCAAGCTCGCCAAGGATCAGGTGCAGTGACTGGAATGACCTAATTCGCACGTCACTCAGGCCACAGTACGGATGTATCATGCTAAATCGATAAGTATACGATCTTCTGTTTAGCATTTCGTCTTTGTTGACTAAGATCACATACTTGCTGCACAGGGAAAGTATGGAGTATAACGAGCAGGTATGGTGTATGCGTCGGCTGTACAGAAGGATTAAATCCAAGCAAGAGGTGTTTGTGCGGATGACGTGATGAGTTGTTTTCGATGTGATTTATTCGATATTTATCTGCTAATGCTTGGCCCGAAATCCTCAAACTCCGTCTAATGGGAAACTGTCAGCTAAAAAGCTCAATGATGGTTTCAGGAAATTATGCTGGACAGTTCTTCGTTGTTCCGTCGATGCTTCACAGAAGGTGTCCGTCAGCATGACGAAAACTGTGAAGTTACAGAGAGGTGGATCGAAGTAACAAACAACAAAGCCAGTCAGACATTTGGTCCGTCACAGGTCTCAGTCAGAAATCATCACGCACTTCACCCGAACACCAAATCAATATGAACCGGTCGCTAGTCCTAACGATACAAGTCTACGGACGAAGTCTTAGACAGCCAGAGCCAAATTAAACAGCAAACTGGATCACTTAATGCTCATATGTATTCAAAATAATTAAAGCTACGGATACATGACTGGATTTAACGCGCGTAAATCCTGGAACAGAGAGAAATCCGTTGAGTCTACCACCTGCCTAAGGCCATCGTAAATTTACAAGAGCGAGGATGGATAACGGCTCTTACAGTAGATGGGCCAAATTATGAAATGTAAACCAAATGCATTATCGACTAAAAAATATTACCTAATTTGGTTTTGTAATATTATTCGCTGCGCGGTGTAAACCCGTAATAATCCAAATGCTCCAGGGTACCCGCTTGTGAACGAACTTTTTTCCGACCGCCTGCGAAAACTACACTTTGTAAAAAATACTTCGTAAGTAGCGTGAACTTTTCATTTTTTTATTATGCCAGTGTAAGGTCAAATATGCTTCACAAAAAACATGCCTAATAATATTTATATTTTAACTTGATAGAAAATTACATATTCTTCACACTTTTTACTTGAAGTATATAGTTGGATTTTCAAAATATGCTAAATATGAAAACTTAAGGACGGCGAAATGCCAGTTCATAAAACATCCCTTATCTGCATTGTCTTATGTTGCTTGTAAAGTCGAGTATATGGCTTGAATGTACTGCTAAATGTTACGAACACCAAATTATCTGTTCTTAATACCATATGTGAAATATATGATTTTCCGCACACAGAAAATATACAGTTTGTAGTTTGGAAACCATGAAAGGGCAAGTGGAGCTCAACATTATTCACAAACTGGAAAAGACGTTCGCAACCACATTATACCCTTTTTAAAATATTAGATTTGAAGAAGACGTAATTTCCTAACAAATACGGAGAGAATCAATATTTTTATGCATGTTTTACACGGAATATATTCGAATTTTTAAGGGCGTCGAAAACCTAATGAGAAAACCCATGCGTGGCAAGTAGGCGCTTTCTAGAGAGTGTAGTTTGTGCATGCAGCCGAAAAGAAGTTCGTTCAAATTCCGTCATCCTGACATATTTGAATACTCATGGGATTAATAGTAGTGAAAATCCGATTCCCGGGTGGCATATCAAAAGAAGAGGGGGCGTTCACCGGGAGGGGTTTATTTGAGATCCGAAGTTTCGGGTAGTTTATTCGTCTACCCATATTCAGGGACTGGGAGGTCCTGTGCACAGCACTCCTTATTATGGCGCCCTTTGTCCAATGCGTGATCCGCCAATGCGGCCTGTGTGGCTCCATCCAACCCGCATGTCACCGTGACCTGAATCGCCCCCGTCGGCCGCGGTGATGGCTGACGGCCCCGATTGTCCCGCGCCGCGACTGTCCCCCGCTAAGAAGGTTCGTAAAGTCAGATAGGGGGGAGGCGAATTGATGTGGCGGTTGACAGAGCGGTCGGTGGACATCCAGGCTTCTTGCACTTGCCTTGCTGTGTGATCGCTGCCCCGGCCCACAATCTCAACGGCGTCACAGTTGAAGATGTGTCTCAGTTGCGCGGCATGGGTTGCTACCTCCGACTTTGGGTCCAACCTTCGCACGGCCAACTTATGCTCGTGCATTCGCGTTTGCAGCCGTCGGCCGGTTTCCCCAACGTAGTTGCAACTTTCGCAGCTGCATTGCAGTCGGTAGACAACGGCCAACATCTGCTTAGGGATCGGATGTTTCGGCCGCATCACTTGCCGGCGGATTGTTGAGTCAGGCCTGTGGGCAACACCTATTCCGAGTGGCGCGAGTGATCGAGCCACGACTTTGGAGACCCCTTTAATGTACGGAATGCTCCGCCATGAGTTTGGCTGACTATGCTCCTCGTTTCGTTTCTTTGGCTGCCTCCGGCTTCGTTCAATGAATGCCCGCGGATAGCCATTGGCTCTGAAAAGTTCTCGGAGGAGCTTTATCTCATCCAGTTTGGCGGCTGGCGTGCTGCAATGAGTTTCCACCCGTCAGTACAGCGTGCGGACACAGCTTCGTTTGTGTTGTGGTGGGTGGTTGCTGTTGTAGCTGAGAATTTGCAGCGTGTTCGTCGGTTTTCTGTAGACCGACATCGCTAATTCGCCATTTGGTTGGCGGCAGGCGAGAACACCAAGAATGGAAGTTTGTCCTCTACTTCCTCTTCCATCGTGAACTGTAGATCGGGCATGGTTGAGTTCAGTACTTCCGCATAGTAGTTGATTTTATCCTGGTCTATGATTACGAAGGTGTCATCAACGTAGCGTGCCCAAAACTTGGGTTTGTACTCCTCGAATAGTCGTCTCTCGAGTTTTTTTAGAACCGCCTCCGCAATGAGTCCGGAGATTGGTGAACCCATTGAAGTGCCCTTGATCTGCTCGTATGTGGTCCCTTCGAAGGTAAAGAATGTCTTGAGGCAGTGCACCATGAGTTCTATAAGATCCTGAGCTGTAGGCTGGCCATCGCCCCCGTCGTAATTTTGACGTAGCAGGTCACTCAGCGTTTCGACCGCAAGGGCCTGTGGTATGGACGTGAATAGTGAGACGACGTCAAAAGACACCATCCTTTCATTCGGTTCGATCGTGACTGTCCTTATTTTGTCAAGGAATTGTTCTGCTGAGTGCACCGTTGTTTGTGAGCCTGCAGTTAGGAATCTTGGCTTCTGAAATAGCCAGCTTGCAAGCCCGTATGTGGGTGTGCCTCGGAGTGAGACGATAGGACGGAGGGGAACATCTGGCTTGTGAACTTTTGGGAGACCATAGAATCTCACCATAGCGGTTTCTGTGGGCTTTGCCATATACCAGTCTTTGGCGGTGATGACCTTGTCCATTCTTAGTCGAGCCAGAATTCTGTTAACCTTTGCCACTAGGGACTTTTGACCGGCGGTGTCGCTGACTTTGTAGGTCTCTCGATCCTTGAGGAGCAGGAGGGCTTTGTGTCGGTAGTCCACCTTGTCGAGGATGACGGTTGACCGGCCTTTGTCAGCAGGCAGAATAACTATTTCGGTGTCCGCTTTCAGCTCCCTTAGGGCCTTTTGTTCATCTCTTAGCAGGGAATGGGTTTTCCGGTGCGACATGAAAAGTGAAGAGACTTGATGTCGAAGAAGGTCCTTTACCTCGTCTGTGACGCCGGTTTGACGAAGCACTGATTCGAAAGACGCAATGAAGGTGACCGGGTTGGCGTCAGTTGTGTTAAAACCAGATCCACGTTGTAGAACTTTTGTTTGGGTCATGGGATTATACCGCATGGTGATTAATATTACCACCCCACGTCGGTAAACTTATCTTGTTGAAAACGCATATCAGAACTCATACGTTCGCATATTAAGTGTACCAATGACACTCTTTACAGTGATATTGCTAAGGATATTAAGTAAAATCGAAGACGACAGTGACTCCATAAATTCCGAGTCGTGGATCAAAAACGTCAAGTACTGTGGTCAAACAACGCTTATAGATCCTCCTCCAGCGTGTTCACACAGCAAGAACGGACAACTTGCGCCCGGATCGGCCTCGTCAGACATCTTCGGATCTAAAATATCAACAACCCCACAGTTCCATTTATTTTCTCGAATACAGCCGTTGAAAACTTTCTCGCTGCAACCTCCTGAAGCACAGGAAATCTATCCTTCAGAACACTCGTTATGCACTGCCATCGGTGCAGGGAAACATCACAGTTCGCATAACTAATAATATTTACTTGATCGCCACCTATGCTTGGTGCGGTCCTACATTCATATGAGACATCGTGCTGGTCGGGTACTCGAGAATCCCTTGTACTGAGACTGCCGATCCAGTACCAGAAGTACCAACGTATACCTGCCCCATCTACCATAGCTGGCCACAATTTCCACCCATCTTTAGTCACCATATGCAGCCTACTCGGGTTCCTGTGTGTACATACAAGTTTTCAGATAACCACTGCGGTCCAAACCACATCACCATGCATCTCACCACCAATACATACACCACACACTCAAACTCTTCACTCATCACAGGCACGATAAGTCGTGTTGGTAAACCGGCTTCCTTTGTCAACGGTGTGGTGGAACGAAACGCAAAGTTGTTTAGATGCGATTTGTTAAACTCTTGTTGCGTTCGACTAATCGAAGTTAGGAAGTAGGCAGATTTTGAAGAGAACATGCATCCCGAGGCTGCTGAAATGTCCTTTGTAGAATTCAAACGCATGCTGGCAGCAAATATTATCTAATTCTTCAGAGTTTTGGCGTCCCTGTATTTTATGACGCCCTTATATTTTCAAGAAAACATGTGTCCGCGAACGGCCGAAATATCCTCCGTAAAAGACGAAAACACGCCGCAGTAAATGCTACCTACTCCTTCAGAGTATTGGGGTCTCTGTGTTTTAGGACAATTTCATATGCTTCTTTTAGCACCTTCGTTTGAATATCAATGTCACTGCCCTACAGGTCCTGCGTCTTTGCCTTTCTCCTATTATCATAAACCAATGGCAGTGGTGGAATTTGGAAATAGGACAAAGACTGGTTCTGCAAGCTATTTAAGTTGCAACAGCGTCACCAACACATCGGTTGAAGTGAAGACACTATGAGGGAGTTCATCCGTGCGCATATCGGCATATTACTTTTTCGAGTGACCCTAATTCAGTGCAGAGGTAAGTAAACACAACGCGAGCTCCTCAGCTGGTATTTAATTATTCCAGGCAGTAAAGGTTAGCGCCTTCAACATGAAATTATTCCATTTTAATGCGCTTACTGTTATCGCAGGTTACACTATTAATACATAAATGGAGGATATAATTTCTTAGAATACATTATGTGCAGAATTGACCAGTGCACACTGGGGTTTCGGAAAACGGCTCAAATGTTATTCATGCGTGAGAAAGTTGAGGGCAGTCTAAGCTAAAATACTTGATTTCCTGGTCTGCTTTGTAAAATTCAGTCAAAATTTGGAAATTGCTTATTGCACATAAGTAACTTGCAACAAACTGAGTGAAATTAAGTAATATTTCCCTTTTTTCTATGATTCAGTATTTTGTCCGCGAAACGGAACCACAGTCAATTTTTCCGAGGCAGTTTTGCATCTGCTGGGAGACATCGGTATTCCCTCCGCAAGCAGGTTGTGCACGTGGCATGTTTTCGCCCATGTGCGCTTCCAAATTGACGCCAAGCCCACTACTAGTGGATGCACAGTATCCAGAGTTCTGCCCCAAAAGAAAGCTATGCAGTGTGTATGCAGGGTAAATTTTCCTTCCTTGATGATGTCTATTAGCCTGCCGGTAAGTTCAATATTTCCCAAGCAATAAGCACGCTCCTGTTAATTTAGAAGCGTTTTCAATACTAGATACCCTCATCAAAGCATCCACTCCAATTTTTAGAGTTCATTACTCATCAACGACAACTTTCGAAGGCTGCTTTACGTGCCGGAAATGTATACGCTCCGGAGTGTGTCTTCGAATGTGACAGTTGATGTGACTTATGCAGATGAAGGAGATGAAAATTCTGATTTAATGCCATTTACGGTGACTTCAAAATTTCAGCGAATACTACATTTTGAAGGGCCAGAATTTTTCGCTTAGCGTGGACCAGCCGTATTCTGGAGGATGCTCAACATCTTCTTGACGAAACATTCTCATTCATCAAGCCTTTGTATTGTTTCCATAGGATTGCATGCGAGACCCTACTACCATATTGCGGGTTGCAGTGACAATGAAATGGAATAAAATGAGAATATTTTACACGCCTGCACATATGACGTGTGTGGTTATTTTACACAAGCATATGATAAATGAAAATTTGAATTCGGATAAGCAGTCAAAGTAATGAAGTGCACTGAGCGCACACGACACGATGTGTACAAACACATCTGGACGAAATTAATGTCGTGACTATGGCTGGACCAATCAAGTTTTAAATCAGCAGAGGAGTATTTAGTGGGTGGAGTAACATCTTCAAATGCGGGTACGTCGTGGGTGACATGATCGTAATTGGGCAGCCTTAGCGTGGGCTCGGTGAATGTACGCGAAATTGATGTGTCCACCTGGGGTCGGGTTGGTAATGAAGGCTCTAAGCTGGCGAGGTGATTTATGGCTTGCCTACGCAAGCCAACTACATCATCATCATCTGCATAATCAGTTGGTTTTGCAGGTATTCCGCCCTTTAGACAACAGGATCTGTTTTCACTCAGTTTACATTGCACAGAATTGGTTCATATGAAATGCTTGACAAGCTAACTTGTTAGTTTGCATAGAAGCGGCAACGACTGACGGCGTGAAGGCTTCTGCTAATTTACCCTATAAACTGTTTTGATGAACGCACCCAGAAAGTGAAATGAGCTGAGCAGATAGCCTCCATATGGAGTTTTGTAGATCAAATTATGCAGACCTACGTAGAATTAGTTACGACGACTGAAACGTAGTGTGTAAATAGGTATTTTTGCGGATTTCTATAATTCGCATGACGCAATTGCGAATGTCACTAAGTAACGTGTAATGCCTTTCACGCAAATGAATGATATGAAAAAGTAAGAATTTGGACTAGCAAGCAAAATAATGTTGTGTAATGAGACAAAATGATAAATTGTGTGCAAACACGTCTGATCGAAACGGATGTTGGGGCCCAGGGATGGACGAATTAAATTTCAAATGAGAAGAAGGGTATTTCTTGGGCAAGTCTTAGGTGACATGATCGTAAAAAAGCTGCCTCTTGAGTGAAATATGCCTGCTTTTGTGCTGCAAATGTGCCCACAAAATTTTATTAAGGAGAATCTTCATTGAACGTTTTAAAAATAGACGTTGCGATTTATGAATAACAACATACGCTGTCACAGCCCTGCTCATCACGATGACGAGATATTTCACATAAGCCGATCAAAACACTAATTTGCGTTCCATCGAATAATCTAGGTTAAGTGATGCATATACGAACATTGGTAACCTCCGTCACAGTCCTGATCATGATGACGAAACATCATACATGATCCGATCAGAATGCTACTTTAAGTTTCGACGAGGTGACGCACAGAATGCGTATAATAAATTGGCTAAAAAGACACGCTGCACGGGCACCGGCATTGCTTTGTCCTCGCCTGTGCAAATCACCATCGTCATCATCATCATCATCTGCACGATCAGTTGGTTGAAGAGGCACTCCATCTCTCAGATAACATGCTGTCTTAACCCCCACCCTCCCCAGTTTACAGCCCACAGAATTTTGTTATACGCAATGCCTGTCAAGCTAACTTGTTATTTTGCATATAAATTGCAACGACAGACGGCATGACGTCTTCAGCTAATGAATTATTTTGATGAACACACAGAGCAAGTGGAATGGGCTAGGCGATATTTAGAGGTCAGTAGTTCACAGTATGCGTAGACTGCAAACTAATGGATAAATAGGTGTTTTCACAGATTTCTGTTATTCATATGACGCAATTCTGAATGGCAGTGAGTAACCCTTGGTTGTGTCAGTTACCCTGCCAGTTTTCCGGTTAAATGTGCACAAGTACAGAATTGAGTCTTTTTATACCGACATGAGTGACAGTCCAGAACAGAAAGGATATGGCCATCCCACTTGCAAGACGAAACTGCTGACCTTTATCGTGTTCCTAGGTACCTTAAACGGAAACCAGCATTCCCCCTAGTCTGACTTTCAGCTTTGGGAGGCGGATGGCGGAGACCAACCAATGGCTGAAAGGTTTGCTGAAAAAAACGAGCCAAATCTTATGTATCAGTTCAGTGATTAGATTCAGTTGTTTGCAAACATTGGTTGTCAAGGAAGCCTAAGCATTCTTTTTGATCATTGGGTCTGAAAACTGAAGTTGAGATGAATTGACGCTTACTGTGTTGACCTAGATTCACGTGAAAGGCGCCAGATGAAACGCCAAATCCTTATACGCATCAAATTTCGTGCTGTTGACAGTGAATTTCCAGTGTAATTCTCTCGACCACAGAGGTGAGGATAAATGCAAGTAGTTGCACTGTGTGAAAATACTGGGTCATTTATACAGTCGTGTGAGTAGTAATTCCATCTTCGTTGACGCACATAATGGGGAGAAGCTGCATTCTGGTAGTAGCAATGGATGGGGATGACTGTACGGATTAAGAGAACAATTTAGAATCGGTCTACGTAGTTCAATGTCTAATGAAAAATGGTCTTTAATGGTTCAGTAAAGGAATTAGTACTGAATGCAAACAACCTGTTATTTATAACTAGGTAACTCGAGGACTTCTAACAATGTCTGTAAATACAGTAGGTGGGCTAACTCATGAAAT